TAAAAAATCCACTTTAACCAGGTTTATCGTTACCAAATGATCGGTGAGTCTCTGTAATCTCACCAATTACACCCACATAATCCTCCACACATAACCTGGGCTTTTCAGGCAACTACAGGCTGACTAGTACCTAAAGGAAACAACAAAAACAGTCCGATGCTGTTTGAAATGTTTGACTGGTCAGGGTTGTTGGGTTAACCCTGCTCACATTGTCAGGGAGCGATTCAAAAAGCAACACGGATCAAACAAAGAAGCTGGAACAAAAATAAAAAAGCCTTTAAAACTTAGACCATAAAACTTAGATTAAAACAACAAACAAAGATTTGATTCTGGACCGGGACGATGGGGAAAACAGTTAGCAGCATTGAAAAGCTAAGCTAAAAATCAGAGGTGTCAAAGTACAAATACTTCATTACTTAAGTAGAAATCAATACTTTACTTAAGTTTTTGACAACTTTTTACTTCCTTACATTTTAAAATAGACTCATTAGTTTTGTTTCATTAAAGTTCATTTTCATTATGGCCTTATGGTATTAAAAAAAGTTACATTTCCAGTGTAGTCCTGTTTCTCTGACTGTGACTAACTGGACGTGCTCTCTTCATCCTCTGACATGGGAGCTGGCTTGGAGCTCGTCTGCCTGGCTGTGTGTTTCCTGGACGGGGCCGCCTTTTACAGCTGTGTTTGTATCTATGCTTCTTTTTCTATGTCTGCTTCCATCTCCTTGAACCCCAGTGGGCCTCAGCAGATGGCCGCTCACACTGAGCCTGGTTCTGCTGGAGGTTTCTTCCTGTTCAAAGGGAGTTTTTCCTCTCCACTGTCGCTACAAGCATGCTTAGTGTGAGGGATTGCTGAAGAGTCACTGAGTCGATGCAATCAGCTGGTTTTCCGTAGATAAAAAAACTTTGAATCAATCTGATGATCTGGTTTTAGTGCTATAGAAATAAACTGTTGTAAACTTATTGTTCACCACAAACCAAAATAAATAGTTTTTCAATATTATGCAAACTTGACTTTGACACTGTTGCCATTAGTTATAAAACTAAGAAACTTAAATGTAAGGAAATTATCATCCAGAATTGTAGAAACACATTCCTATAACAGGGTAGCGCAGTAACCAGTATAAGGTTTAAAGCATTTGTGTTTTTTCATGCATACTTTAAATTTTATACTTGAAGTAGTTTTAAAAATGACACTTTTACTGCAGTGAAAAGCTGAAATTGATCCTCTAACTTCTACTGGTGTTTTTAAACTGTAGTATTCATACTTCTACTTGAGTAATGAATATTATTTCCTTAGACACCTCTGGTAAAAATAGCCTAAAGTCTAGAGCGACGGTCACAGATAGGTCTGACTTTAAAAGCACTAATCTGATCCAAAGGATCCACAGGCATAGTGAGGCATCTCTGTAGGTTTAAGGCAGCAAGTGGTTTCAGACTCCATCTATCAGCTGCATATTTAGAGTAAAACGTGAAACGTTATTCCCTTTAACATTTTTATCTCCATATCTCCGTTTCCCACTCAGGATGATGCAGAAGGATGCAGCCGGTTTTAGTGTCGTTTTAAAGCTCTGCCAAAGCATTCATACAACCTGAAGTTTCAGCGTTAGTTTTCGGTGTTTTTTATTTTCCAATGTGCTCTATGTGTTTAAGTGTGAAACGTTTTCAACGTTTCTTAAAAAGAAAACAACGAGTGAAGTAACTTAGTGTGCTGTGACTTTATAGAAGAAACTTTTTGCTGCTAGAAAGTCTCTAGATATCAGTTTTCCAGGTTTGATGCAGATTCTTAATGGGATTTAGGTCTGGACGTTGACTAGGCCATTTTATTGGTATGTTTAGGGCCAGTTTCCTCCTGCCTCGTCTCAGGTTCAGGTTTTCATCCAGAAGCCTCCCTGGTCTCTGTTTGTTCAGGGAATTTGTTTTTGTTTGAAACCAAACAACCAAAAAGAAGAAAAACATCTGATTTTATTATAGGGCTTGGTCATTAAGACGTAGGCACTTTGCGTGGCCGCCATCTTGATGGCCTCCTTTACCGCTGCTCAGACTACTGCCTATGACTACCGCGTACTGTACTTCCTCTAAATCGTGTTTTAATTTGATTAATTTCACCTTAACTTGATTTCAACCATGGTAAACCGTTGCTGTATTGTGGGCAGTAACAGCACAACACATGATCGCCATGGAAACATAGAAAATGGGTTAACTTTCCACCGCTTTCCTGCCTGGAGGTGCAACCACGGAGACCAAGTGTCAGAGATAAAG